TTCCTTGAACTTTGTTTCTCAAATGTTGTGGCCAAACTTCAATCACAGCCAGTACATAGGCTGTAAAGGAATTCTGGGAAAGGTAGTTTTAGCTTTCCAGGCTATGTAGTTCAGGGTGACACTTTACAAGAAGGGAAGATTGGTTAAAGTGTACCAACATATCCTGTGCAGGATAGTCCTCGTCCTACTGAGGTTCTTGTTACTTTTGATATCTTGACCACTTCCTCCCTCCATGGAATTCTTTTCTCTCAATTTCTATTATAACATTTTTCCCTGGTTCCTCTCTGGGCCATTTGCTTTTTTTCAGACATCTTTCTGGGTTCAACTTTCTTTGTCTGCCCCATGATAGTATGTTTATGAATGCTATTCTTCTCTCCTCATATGACATGTCTTGCTTTTATGCTGTCTTAACACACTATACTTGGGCATACTTTTCCAAGGTTTCAGGTACCAACTATATGCTAAAGGTGTCTCAATTCAACATCTCTGGCTTCTAAGTTGAAACTCTTTATACTCAACTCTCTATTAGATATTACCATTTCCATAAACTCCAAACACAAGCTCAGTGTGTTTAAATAGTCCTTTCTCCTCTACCCCTAAATTTCTGTATCCCCCCCCACATACTAGGGATGGAACTCAGGACTTTGCACTTGCAAGGCAGGTACAGCGCCATTGAGCTAAATCTCTGGCCCCCTACTCCTAAATCTGCTCTGATCTTCCTGTATTTCCATCTAGATGAATGTTACTGAAATTAGAAGGTTGCTAAACTCAGATATTCAAGCATGATTCTAGAGGTATATTTCCCTTTAATCTACACTCAATCTTATTGATCTTGCCTCCTTCATATTCTTATGTCACTCTCTTGTCTTCATCCTTCAGAAAATCCCATAGTGTAGAACCATATCATTTCTGTCTCTGGACCTTCCATACTATGGCATGAAGAATCTTCAAAACTATAAAACTCTAAGAAGATAATACAGAAGAAAACAACACCATAGACATGGTACATAAAAGAAAGCATTGATAAGTGGAACTTATCAATTAAACTTATCAATTAAAAACTTCTCTGCAAAAGACACTGTCAAGAAGACAGAGATGCCACAGACTGGGATAAAATGTTCACAAAAGATTGATCTGATAAGTAACTCTTATCTACAATATAGAAATAACTCTTAAAACTCAAAAATATCAAATGATTTGATCTAAAAATGGACTAAAGATGTTAACAGATGCTTCACCAAAAATATGAATGGCAAATAAACATATGCAAAGATGTTATACATCTTATGTCATCAGGGGAGTATGAATTAAAACAATAATGAGATTGCACTGCTCACCTATTAGAATGGCCAAAATCCAGAAATAGACACCACCAAATGCTGTTGAGGAAGTAGAGCCACAAGAACTCTCATTCATCACTAGATGGCACACAAAATAGTATAGCATTTTTGAAAGACAATAGTATTTTATGAAAGTAAGCATAGTCTTAGCATATGATCCAGCACTTGCCCTCTTTGGTATTTACCTAAGGTACTGAAAACTTTTGTCCACATGAAAACCTACACACAAATGTTTATAGCAGTTTTACTCATAATTGCTAAAATTTGAAAGTAATAAAGTTGTGTTTCAGTAAATGAATGGATAAATAATCAGTGGTACATCCCTGAAATGGAATATTATGTAGTACTAAAGAGAAATTAGCTATGAAACCGTGAAAAGACATAGAAGAAATATAATGTGTGTGACTGAGTGAAATAAGCCGATCTGAAAGGGCTGCATAAAGTGTAGTTCCAACTATATGACATTTTGGGAGTTAAAATTATGAAAACAATACAAAGATGAGTAGTTTCCTGGAGTTGGCAGGAAAGAGAGTTGAGGAGGCAGAGCTCTAAGGATTTTCAGGGCAATGAAACTCATCTCTCTAGCACTATAATGATGGATACTTGTCATGATCTATTTGTCCAGACCTTCAGAATGCACAACTCCAAGAAAGATCTCCAACATAAATCATGGACTTTGGGACTTTGAGTATTATGAAATGTCAGGGTAGGTTCATCATTTGTAACAACTGTACTGCTCTGCAGGAGTAGAAGTAAGGGTTACGGGTAATCTCTCTGTCCACCTCTATTTCATTGTAAATCTAAAACTGCTCTAAAAATAGTAATAGCCATAGGCATCGCAATGGCACCACTAGAATATTAGTTAATGACATCCTTAGTCAATTTCTGACCTAAACAAAATCTTAAAGCCCTCTGTTTTAAAACACAATGCTTTCTCTATGGCTTCATGTTGTTTCACTGTTGTTCTCTACTTAGAAGTCTTCTTCCTGCTACTCATTCATCTTCTGCCTCAGAAAGACTCCTCCTCATTGCTATTCAAGTTTCAGATGAAGCATCAACACCCATACAAAGCTGTCTTTAACTCCCCCAGGTGCTGCCTCCTCATCAGACTCACAGGAGCAGTGACCTCATTGCAGCATAATTGCTCACAGGCCTGTTTCCTCATGGACAGGGGCTTGATTTCTTCATTACTTGGAATGCAGTGGCATTAGGATACAGTAAGTGGCATTAGGCTGCAGTAGGTGCTCAGTAATACTAATCAAATAACTGCGTTAACGATATTGCAATAGTAAAAGAAAAACTCACAAATATATACACAATTGGTGAGAATCTTAATAATTTTTATGTATAATCATGCCACCCATCATTTAAAGCTAGTCCAAAGCTCTGATTCTTCCATGAAGTTTCTCTTTGCATCTACAGCAGTAATAGCAAAGCTTATAGAAACCATGTGCCCAAACTGCAACCCAAAACCTACTTATTTATCGCAAAGTGCCAACACTGCCCCTATGTGCATTGTTATCAGATGCTGGGGTGTCTTAGCTCCATGCTAACAGAGAGGTTCTGCATCCCCACTGAGGCACACATGCCATAGGTTCGCCACCACTGAACTACAGGCTCCCTGTGTGCTACTACTACTGGTAGGATCCTGATAGTATTCAATCAGATATTGTTGCACCTCATTCTTTATCTCATTTTTAATACTTGCTTTTTTCAATAAAACACAAGCTTTCTCCAAGATAATGATCATGTAGTGTATCACTATAAGTTTACTATGCCGGTTAGGAGCTCACCAGAGCAGCAACAGGCACACTGCTTCTTGAGGCACCAGATTCTAAGCTATTATCAAGAAGCCAGGTCAGTTCTGAATGACAGTGCTGAAAATGTGAACATGGTGCTGTGAGGCTACAAGAAAAAAAATGAGTTGAATACCTAGAGCCATACTTGGGCTATTTCCAGTGTCCACAATTAATAATCTATACTGTAGTACCAGTATACACATGAATTCTTATGGAATAGGAAACCATTTAAAAATAAAGCAAAACTTTAAATAGGAGTGGCTGGAAACAATACTTCTAAGCTGCACTTCTGTTGCTTTGCTATTAGTGCAATCCCTGTCTGCCTGTCTGTCACCATCTTTAATCTCTCATCTTTGGTTAAGAGGTCAGAGGTTTAAATCACGGTTTTTACCCTAATGCAGAGAATTCTCAATTTCTCTATCTGCACTTGCTTCTGTGTTGGTACAGTCTTCATCCTGACCATGAATCTGTCTGGACTCTTTCACTCTCAACTCCAGCAACTCTTACCCCATGTATTGCTGAGATACAAAGAGGTTTTACAGAACACACTCTAAAGGACCTTCTGCAATGATAGGCTTCCTTATTCTAAATGCTTGTGTGCATTAGCTTCACAGAATCTCCCACCATACATACCCCGACCCCCAACACACAAACCCTGCTCAAGTTGGGATGGTGTTTTTGTACAGAACGATGAATTTTGGTAAGAAGGAAATAGCTTCCATACTGTTAAGTAGAAATAGCTCCCATACTGTTGCTTCCGGTGTTTACCAGCAAAAACTTCTCCTCCCCTCCCAATAGCAGTCCAGGTTTTCTATTTACTTCTTCCGTGCTGGTTAAATGAGGGCTACCCAGCCCAAAAGCAAACACATAAACGGTCTGTTATTACACATGTTGACATGAACAGGTAAGAAATTAGCCACTCAAGAAGCACTTTTAAATATATGTTTTGTGTTCATCCTGTTTCCACCTGGTGTGACCATTACATGTAAGGTATTTACATTCAGGAAACCAGCACAGTAGTGAGTACCTACTGAACTCAGTTACTGCCCTGCAGGATCTCAGAGGCTAACAGAAAATGCTCCAAGAGAGGTGACCACATGAAGGTCACAGGAAAGGGCAAAATCCGGTGAACACCAACACCAGATGAAAGGCAGCTCATTGCACCTATGTAGGTACTTATAAGGAGGGAACTGGGTGAAGTTCAGGGTGATGAGGTGCTTTGCAGTGAGAAACTTATTGCTACCCATCCCTCTCAGTAAAGAAAGGTCCACAGAAAAGGTGCTTTTAAGAACAAGGTCCTTGTCACAGCCAAAAGAGGCCTCTGATGGCATAATGACTGAATGTAATATTGTCTGTCCTGAATGGGGATATACAATAAGTAAAATCTGAATAAACTATGAACTTTAGTTAAGAGTGATGTACCCTATTGATTTATTAACTGTAAGGAATGTACCATAAATGTAAGATGGTAGTAATAGTAAGACTGGGTATGTGATATATGGTATCTCTCTGTACTATCTACTCAATTTTTCTGTGATTGTAACACTGTTCTAAAAACTAAAAATTCTTTTTGAAAAAGTAGAGGAAGAGGGTCTTACAGCCCATAGAATATTCCTGGCAAGCAGACAGGAAGAATGCAAGTTGACAATAACTATTTTTGAAAGAAATGACTTTATTGTTAACACCATGTTTGGGGCATGATCATCAATTCCTATAGCAATACTGAGCTCTCGCTTGCTTTTCCATGGTTGATTTTTGGCAGGCGACCACAGCTTTGTGCACTGATTAGAATTTTTAGCTGCATTGTCAGTAACCAGGATGTATAATGGATCTTCATCTCTAATTACTTTTCTCTCCACAGGTGTCTGGAAAGAGTCCAGATGGGAATGCACACAACCTCCGCTTCGAGGGGATGGAGAGACAGTATGCTTCTTTACCCAGGTAGTTGATGGAGGGGTCTCCCATCACCAGCATACCCACAAGTGGCGTCTTTAGAGATATCTGCATGAAACAGAAATCCGGTTTTGAAATAGGGAACATGTTATAATTTTGCCTCACTGCTGTCTGCCACAGTCCCAGTGCCTTCTTCACAACTGTGCTAATAATTGAAACACTTGTGGGTTATTTTTTAAGGGGAGAAAATAGTATATCATCAAAATTGAACGTGTCAGCAGGAATATTGGATACGAAATGGAAATCCTAAGCCATTGCTATAAAAATAATATTGTACATCTTGCACCAAGCTTAGAGACAATAAAATAGTAAATCCTCTGTCCTAGGAGTTACCCATTAGAAAAGGCAGACCAACCTTAACCTTGGTGCTTTGTGTGTGTGTTAAAGAGTAGGAAATGTGAAGCTGGGAAGGTGTTTTTTGCTTGATTTAGAATCTTACCGCCTCCTCAAGGCACTAAGCAAATATTATTAAGAGGTACAGACACAGTGGGGAAAGGAACAAATGTGTGGGAAAAGTTCACTTGGCAACACTGACCCAACATGATCCGCTTATGCTGTAACTAAACACTCCTGAAAATGAGATGCAGTTCTCAAAGGTTGGTGCTCTTATCTGTGAGATGAAGAGTAATGCTAGTCCACTATCAGAAATGTGTGGCAAAGAGGAAAACTTTCCAAGATGACTTACCGTCCAGCTATCATGGGAACTAGATGAGTTGAGAGTGTGAGAATTAGTGCATTTGAAAGAGAAACAAAAGTTAATGCCAGCCACAAAACTGAAATGCTTCAGAATGTCACCTTGGAAAGGGGTATTGGAAGGGTCCGCAAGTAGACCTTCACTGTTATCAAAGCTGAGCTGCTCAAATGCTAACTTAAGAGGTGGGAGTTCCTGTTTTGGGTTGCATGTTGGCTGCACTTTTGCAGGTGACTCCACAAGAGGAACATCCTGAACATTACAACAGACACGGCCTAGGTGACCATCTGCTCTTACAAAGAGTGTAAGAGTGTAAGAGTGAGTTTCAAATGGCAAAAATTCTCAAACTGGCAATTTTTAATACTGATTAGGCAGGATACACCAAATAACAACCTTTTAAAAGCTCCTACACCCTGTATTTTTCCTCTCCCTGTGTTTTTTTAAAGTTGTCTCCTAGTGTTTTGTTTTGTTTTGTTTTGTTTTTTTCTCATCCATGGTTTATGTCCTATTACTATTTTTCCCCTGGCCTATTATTTTGTTTTCTTTTAAAAATGGAAGTCATTTCCAAGATTCATTTTAAATGTAAGATTTCCGGCTTTCACTGTTGACGTGTATGGAAATTGCGGTTAGGGCAGATGGAAAGTAATAGGTTCTTATGGGGGGCGCTGGAAACAGCTTAATCCCTTCCTGGCCAAATTGTACTCTGTGTGCAGAAATGGATATTTTAAATTCAAATCAAAAGCACAGAAATAGCATGTAAAGTCCTATAAATTTGACTCATTTATTCATTCCACATGTATCTGGTGAATACCTACTATGCATCAAGGCTGGGAGAATGGAAATTGATGACCTAGTCCCAGTCTATCCTTGGGACTCAATTCTTTAGAAAAGAAGGCAAACAACCATCCTTTTATGACAGTGCATCAAATGCTTACAGTAGTAATTATTAATATGAAGTCCTCTGAATTTCCAACTCCTGTTTATTTTCACTAATTAGCCCTGAAATGCCCAATCATAGCTGACTCTAAATAACTGTTTCAGGAGTAAACACTGCAGAAGGGATTTTCTGACAAAGGCAGAATGTTAATGCCATTTGTGGCTGTGGCGCAATCATCCAGTGTAGGAACTGACAAAATCCTGCTGGCCCCAAGAATGGAACTGTAGCTAAAAGGGAAGCATTTTCAGCCAAAAATAATTTCTGGCAAAAAGTGCATCCATCCACAGTGAAAGTGGTAGTGGTGATTAAGTTGCACATGCAAACAGACCATTGTAGCTACCTGGAAACTGGAAATTGCCATGATGGAGGCTAAATAGGGCTTGGACACATGCACAGGAGGTCCCTGGCACTCATTCTTCAATGGGGAAACTCAAACTGTGGTTTGCATCTTAAAATCTAAAGAGAGACTCAAAGCTCCCTCACAAGCATTGTGTCCAGTCCAAGGGACCCAGACTTGCCCCCAAGGGATGCCTCTGACAAGGTATGTCTGCACCCTTGACACCGAGCCTGGTCTTGTCTTCCCCCGTCCTGGAGATTTTGCCGTTCTAATTGAATCACACCAGCCCACTTCTCTCTCGTTGCCAAACATGAGTTGAGCACAGCTCCACAGGCAACAGATCCTTTTCTGTCACAGAGGGGGGAGCTTTGAAATATTTATGGAGTTAAATTTTTAATTAAACATAGGAATGATTCTATCTATGGGGAGTTAGTGGCCACCCTTATAAGGGACTTAATACGCTACTAACTGGTTTGGTTTCTGTATTGTTTGTAGAGGTTGTCACAGGAGTTTTTGAAGAAGAGCTCAATAATGCTGATTTATATGCCAAATTTGGAGAACTGCCCCGCAGTGCCTAGAGGAGGGAAGCCCCAGTCAAAGGGCATCCTCAGAACCTTTCATGAAGCTCTGTCATCTTTAAAGCAGGCCCAGGCAGCCTGCTGCCAAGCTAAATGACACCACACAAAATAGAGCCAAGGGAGAGCCCTGGCCAGTGCAGGGAAAAGACAATCCCTTGCACTTGGTAGTTAAAAGGTTGCCTGGGGCTAAGGGCTAAGCGATGTTAAACGTTATTGTTAAGCAATGTTAAATCTTCTGCCTCCAAAGAAAAATGACTTCATTTCTTTTCTCCTGAGGATACTGTTTTGGAAAGCAGAGGGTGGCTGTAATACAACCTCGTTAGTGAACATCACGGCTTTGCCGGGGCCACAGTCTTGCCAGCCTGTGCAGGCCCTTGTTTTCTTTCGTAGCAAACAGAATGAAACTGGCATCCCTTTATTCTAGTCTGACAAATTATTACTCACCCTAGGTAAGTAGGGAAGCAGCTGTTTTCTACACTCCTATAATGTGTGGCTATCAATGCATGGATTTTTGCAAACGGCTTCTTTTTCCACTCCAGCCTGCTCCCCGCTTTCAACTCTCCCAGGCCCTATTCTGATTTTACAGACCTCCTCATGGTCCAGCCCTGCAGCAGTAAGCTCCCTATTTGCCCATCTCCAGCTTCCACCATCCCCACCTAGCCCCTTCCTGACCCCATGGGATCCCGTTATCCCCTCTCTCCAGATGGCTCAGAGCACACAAAGTTGCACTTCCAGGTTTGTAATCAAGTGTGAAGTCCTGAGGAGGGAGCAAGAGGACAGCATCTCATCTGTGGTCCTGTGTTCACGGACAGTGGGAACTGGCCAGAGAAAATCATAAAACTCCATTCATCAGTTCCACTGCAGAATTCGCGTCAGGCTGCACCAGCTGGGCCCCTGCTGCTGGCCAGCATTCCTGCGAGCCCTGTTGGCAACTCTCCTGACTATCCCACAGTGGCCATTCCGACCCTTTTCCACTCCTGTTAAGTTCTGTGAAGATGACTAAGCGCTCCAAGCCAAGTCTCTAGAGATGACTTCACTTCCCGTCCTTTACAACCTGGAAATTTTCAACATTAGCCTTCAGCCTCTGCTCTCTGCAGCTCAGCCTGCAGTGACTTCACTAATACACACTTCCCAGGGGAATGAAGAGAGGGCCAAGAGTGAAGACCCAGCTCCATCACGTATCACCTACATGACCTGCACCAGTGACCTAATTGCCCTGGGCTCTGCTTTCTAATCTGCAAATTGGGGATGACGTTAGGACCATGAGTATTAAATAAAGTACAGTAATACTCACAAAACCCTCAGTGAAAAACCCGATATACTTAAGGGTTTTTTATTGTTAGCTCTGTTTTACTTGATTTGTAGAGAAGATATTGTCCTTTCTGAAGTGGGGCAATCTTACATACCAGAGCTCATTCTCACTGGCCTCTTGGGGACCTGATACCACCAACTACCCCTTTCTGACTGTGTCTTGAAGCCCCCTGCCCTTGCTTTGCTCCCCCTGGCTACTGTTGTCAATACATTGGTTTAGCTGCACTTGCTGAGAGTTCCTTCCACCCTGTGGAAGAGAGGAGGAGGGAAACACTACATGAAGATATGCTGGGGACACTGAAGCCAGAGGATTAGCTGGCTTTGAAGAAAGACCTCAGCCCCAGTCCAGGTGGTGGAGAGCAAGAGAACATAGCAAACTAATGTGATCTGCATGATAAGCTTCACTAATGGACATGTGTGGAGATAACAGTCGTCATAGCTAGGGAATCCACATAAAGGATACAGGATGATGACTTGGGTCTAGGCAAGAGTCCAGGGACCCTGTCTAAGAAGACCTGGGTGCACAGCTAGGACTATATGCAGAGTGCAGAGGACATTGCTCTAGCAAACATGGTGCAAGAGTAGCAGCCTCTTTACTGGTGCGAGGAGCCCAAGAGAGATGGCCTAGGTTCCCCTGCTGTCTCAGGACAGGACAGTACTGAATACAGCTCCAGAGCTTACAGCTGAGCAGGCTGAAATGGAAGGACTGATCCCCACCTTGATTCTAGTCCTCAGAACAAAATATTTCCTCAAACCTCCAGCCTCCTTCAGTGCCCACGTTTCTTAGGAAAAGAAGCCTGGGAAATTTGTTTGGAATCTTTCCAATGCCCTCAAAATATTCTGAATTAGGTTATACATTTTTGTGGACCTTTTCTACCCCATAAAATTGTAAATCTCTTAAAACAAGGGACTTCATTTTATGCTCATTGTTTTTTATACCTATTATGAGAACCTGACATAAGACTGTACGTAAAGTGGATTACTAATACATTGGTATAAAAATGAGTATAGATTTGCTTTTATACAAGTAATTTGGGGGAAAGGAAGTCTCCTAAGCTTTCTTGACTGTTTGAAGTGCTATTTTCCAACATAAGTGATGACTTTTCAATGAGAACATCTCTTCTCCCTGGAATT